TAGCACTTTAAAGCTAAATGTAAAAGCTTTTTATTTAAGTTTTATTTTAAACTTGAATTAAATGTATTTAAAAGCTGACCAAAGCTTGGCACTTCGCACTTTTTAGTTGCAAAAGTTTTTATTTTTGTATGAAGACATATAAAGTAATATCAAACTTTTATTTTAAATTATGTATACTGCAATCAATCACATAGGAAAAAGTAAACTACATTTATGTAGACCTGCGAATCGTTTTTTGAATCGAGAATCGTTTTTGAATCGAAAATCGATTTTGAATCGAATCTCGAGACAAAAAATCGGTATCGAATCGAATCGTGACATTTCCTGAATCGTGCACCCCTAATAAAGATCCTCAGTGGTGTATTGTTCCAGTGGCTTGGTACACAGTAAATTCCCTGGTGTTAAATTAACACCGCTCGGTGTTTATATGGGAACTACCAGCAGGGTGTTAAAAGTAACACTGAGGCAGTGTTAGAGTTAATAAGATAATTAAGTGATTAATTGAGTGATGATTGAGCATTATTGAAGACACCTAAAGCAGAATTACAAGGAGAAAACCTAACTTTCAGGTCACCGTTATGGAGGTGAGTGTTTGCTTTAGTTGGGCTCTTGACCCTTTTATTATTATCTTTACATTTTAATTGGCTGTTGCATCTGAGTTATACCTGCCAGATGAACAAAGAGACAATTTATATGATGGTGTTGGTCATATTATGACATTCATTTGAAATATATGTTCGTGGTTAATTTTGTAGGTCACAACATAACTGAGATTCTACATAAATATCCAGAATGTCAGATATAATATAATGGATTTCTACAAGTTGTTAAAAAAAAAAAAAAAAAAAAAAAAACTTCTTATAGGCACACATAAACCTCAAAATTCAGTCAATGCTTCTCAACAATGGTGACGAGCAGAATATTCAATTAGGAAAAGTAAATTACATAGACAATTCAGATCATAATTTATTCATACCGCAATGCATGATGGGAGCCATTAATGAGTTGTGATTGGTGGAAACAAGGATTATTAATGTCACCATGGTTGAGATACACAGGCTGACTATTTATGTCTGTGTTTCTAAATAAAGTTGAAAGTGATTTGATCAGAATAGTTGTTATTAAATATTTTCGGATAAAAGAAAAATACGGACATGCTGCACAATCACTAAACTGTTACTAACAAGTTAAGCCAATTCATCTGAAAAGTTAGATTTTTCAGATCACAGCATGATTATGTCAAAACATAACCAACAATATCAGATCACAGTTTTCTTTGTTCATTTGACTGTTATAAATTAATAAAAGCAGACAAACAAAGTTAAAGTGAAAGTATAAGTGTCAAGAGCCCAACTAAAGCAAACACTGATCTCCATAACGGTGGCTTACAATTTGTGATTTTCTCCTTCAGTGATTCTGCTTGTTAACATCAGGTGTCTTCAATAATGCTCAATCATCACTCAATTATTCACTTAATTATCTCAATAACTTTAACACTGTATCAGTGTTACTTTTAACACCCTGCTGGTGGTTCCCATATAAACACCGAGCAGTGTTAAATTTAACACTGGGGAATTTACTGTGTACGTTCAACATACACCCTTTGACGGTATCCTCTCCTGGCAAAGTGGTGGCGGCGGTGGACAACACCTGCCATTTCACTGTCTCTCTGTGAATCCTCCGAGAAAGGCTGATTTATATGGCTGTGTAGTTGGTCTTTTCAAACACACCTATTACAACTGATTAGTTTTGGCTTGTGTTCAATTGAAGCAATTGGACCCAAGGCCTATAATTGATGAACAATGTTCACTATAGTAATGTTCAATGTTCACAACCGAAGGGTTGGTGGTTCAATCCTCGGTTCCACCTGACCAAGTGTCGAGGTGTCCATGAGCAAGACACCTAACCCCAGCTGCTCCCGACGAGCTGGCTGGCGCCTTGCATGGCTGACACCGCCATCTGTGTATGAATGTGTGTGTGAATGGGTGATTGTGAGGCAATATGTAAAGCGCTTTGGTGGCCATTAGGTCTATGAAAGCGCTATATAAATGCAGTCCATTTACCATTTAAAGCAACGGAACCATGGACTCAAGAAGCTGTAACTTCACTGCTGCTGAAACCAATGCACTACTAGAGGGTGTTCGGTGCCATTATGGAACAATAGTGGGAGGTTTTAATCCTGCTAAGGATACCAACAAAAAGAAAAATTCTGTTTGGATTTTAATCACAGAAAATGTGAATGCCATAGGGTCTGGCCAGAGGAGGACCACAGACCAATCAAATTGCGGTGGAAGAATCTTAAGGCCAGGGCACCAAAGGACCAAGCTGAAGCCAAAAACCCACAAACAGGCAACAAGCCATTTAAGAGGGGAGATTACACAGATGTGGTCCTCGACATCATTGGAGGTGAGAAGTTGCAAGCTCTCCATGATATTCATGGTGTTGTAGGGGATGACGAGCCTTGGATTGAGGAGGAGGAGAATCTGCCAGTTCCTCCTGAGGCTGATCCAGAGAGCGTATTTATATGGAACCTCAGCTCTGTTCCTTAGGAAGAAGCTGGATCCTCATTGGTTAAGCCCGTGGTAGTTGCCACAGGATCTCAGAGGAAAGGCTTGAAGCGCCCTTCGTCAAACAAAGATGATGATTACAAGGAACTTCTGCAAAAAGAGACTGAAAGGGCAGAAGCACAGCTTTGTCTGGCAGAGGAACAACTGACTCTGACCAAACTGTAGCAAACCAAGGCCAGACTTGAGATCCACCTCCTAAAGGCTACGCTCAGACAACACTCCACATCAGATGAGGAAGTCTGAAATTATTGTGGAGTATTTGACATAAAGGGTGCTTTCACACCTGGATCGTTTTGTTTTGTTCTGGAACAGATCCGAAACAGAATACTTTGTTCCAAATCAATTTAATACGTTACTCTGTTCACACCACACTGTTGTATAGCGGTCCAAATCGCGCACCCTTCCAGGGCTTTCCTTGAGCCATGACATGCAGGTCGCGCATTCCATTGTGGAACATCACCATGACAACAGTAGCCTAACACAAAATGAATCGCGGGTTGACTTGGTGCTACGAAGAGGTGAAATGCCTCAAAGATATTTGGTCGGAAGAACACATCTCCCGGATGTTGGACACTACGCACAAGAACAAAGGCAAAAAAACTCTGACAGCAGTACATAAAGATACGAGACCACCTTGCCAAAAGTGGAGCTACAAGTGATGAGAAAGTTGATTTGTTCCGGGTCGTGGGTCGGTTGTGTTCTCACTACAAACGAACCGCAACAGGGTTCGTATGGAATCGAGCCAAGACCACCTCTTCTGCGCAGTCTCAGCTAGGTTGTTTTGTTCCAATTCAGAGTGCAATTGTTATGTTCACATATGACCAAACGAACTGAGCCAAAAGGGAAACGCCACGTCTTCAATCGATCCAGGTGTGAAAGCAACCTAAGTCTTTTTTTTAATTCAACACATCTATATTTGAAACTTGTTATAAATATTCTCAATGTACAGTATTTGTTACTTGTTTTGTCTACCTGTTGCTCTTTCCATATCTACAGGGGTTGGACAATGAAACTGAAACACCTGGTTTTACAACACAGTAATTTGTTAGTATGGTGAGTATGGTATTTTGCATCCAAATACAGCACCAATTAATCTTGGGAATGACAGATAGAAGTCCTTCACAGTGACCAGAGGGATTATGAGCCGTTCCTCTTTCAGAACAGTGTCCAGGTCACTATATGATGCTGGTGGACTCGCTCCTCCAAAACACCTCAATAATATTTAGATCTGGTGACTGTGCATGTTCAACGTCACTTTCATCTTCATCAAACCCTTCTGTCACAAGTCTTGCTGTGTGTGTTGGTGCATGATCATGCAGATACACGGTTTGAGCATCAGGTGCTCATGATCCTCCAGAAGGGTTTGGTAGTCCTCGGCAGTGTCGTGTCCATCAAATACAATCAGGATTGTCATGATATTGGAGCTCAAACCATTACTGATCCACCCGTGCTTCACTCTGAAGATTGGCCGCCAGGCATATAGATGTGAAACCTCCAACATTGGCCAGTGTTTCAGTTTCATAGTCCAACCCCTGTATATTCTACATTGTGACTTCCTATCCTGTTTGAGGATGGCTTATCCAGATTTGGTAATCCTGAAAAGTTCCCATCCGGATCAGATTGATCCAATCCGATGTTGCTTTGAAAAACTGGCTCAAAAGAAAGCTGGATTGCGTGATCAAGGATCACAAAAAAAAAAAAAAAAAAAAAAAAAAAGGATTCCTAAATCCGGGTCAATTTTTTCCGGAATAAACGTTTTGAAAAACTGGGCCCTACGTTATTCAACCTCATTTTAATTTTCATGCCAGCCACTCCCAAAGATTCATTTTGGAGCCTCCATTCCCAACAGAACCCCAGGCAGTTGTAAGTAAATCAATACACCAAACATTATGACAAATAGTATTATAAAGTTTTCTCAATCAAAATTTTATCTGCACAGGACAATAGGGATGACGAAACAGTTTTTATGTAAATGCCAGTTTAATTCTGTATAATTTGTTTAGAATTACATGATGTAACTCTAATTTATAGTATTTTCAGTTACCAGTAAAGGAGTTATTTAGACTTCATCTTATAAAAAAAATAGAAAAATATAGCAGCAAAAAAAAAAAAAAAAAAAAAAGAAGAATAAATGTACCAAAAGAATGAATGAATTCCTCTTTAAAGGGGGGGAAGAGACTGAAATAAACTCTTTATTTTAAAAAAGCTGCCCGGTTAGGTTCACAGAGTAAGTTACCTTGGAGTATAAATTACCTCTCTTTCAGAAACGGGCTTGACTTACCCTTCTTTCTCTGGTTTGACATACCTCCCATTTTGAAACGGAAAAGAGTTTTCCCTCATTTCAGGGTTAACCTACTCAAGAGTTTTCACTTAGCCTTCTTTCTGAAATGGGCCCCTGATCTCTGCTTCTTCACCTATGTTTTGATCCAGAGGTTCTGTACTATGTCAGAATAACAGTGAAAATACAGATAGCCGTTAAAACCACTTGCCACTTTGCAACTGCACATTGATTCTTTCAATAAAGAGCTAAAATGATAATCAGGATCAAACTATTAGTAGCAAATGAGTTAGATCTTCCATCGGTAAGTTTGGCTGGTGTTGCAGTTTAACTGATGTGACTTCTATCCCGGACATGAACAAATGACCACATATTCGTCAATTCCAAAAACCTGCACCTCCAAAAAATGCCCTTACCATTAAACTTTTGCACTACATGATGTTGGTATATTTATAAAACATAAAATGTGTTTCATTACCTGTAACAACAAATATATTGTTAAAAAATATATATACTATAAAGTTATACTTGTTACAGTATTCGAACAGCACCAAATATGTAGTATATTCAAGGGTCTCACAACTGCTAAGTGTGATGTTTTTTAAATCAAAATTGAATGATCATCATCTATGGTGTATATACAAGTCATTTCTGAAACTGCTGTATCTTCTCAGGTTTTTACCACAAACACAACTACAGTTGCATTACAAAATGAGTTTGCAAATGACATTTCAGTTCTCTTCGATATGTGAAACTCTTCTTACACTGAGGACAAGTGAAAGGCTTCTCCCCAGAGTGATTTCTCAAGTGGACATAAAGGTTTCCTTTATGATTGAAACTCTTTCCACAGTGACGGCAGGCGTAAGGCGTCTCTCCAGTGTGAATTCTCACGTGAATGGTAAGGTTTCCTTTATGTTTGAAACTCTTTCCACAGTGATGGCAGGTGAAAGGCTTCTCTACAGTGTGAGTTATAACATGATTCTTCAGGTGATTGCTGTTTCGGAAACTTCTTCCACAATGATGACATACAAACTGCTTCTCTCCAGTGTGAATCCTCATGTGCTGATTAAGGTTCTCTTTACATCTGAAAGTCTTTCCACACTGATCACATGTAAACGGCTTTTCTCCAGTGTGAATTCTCATGTGAGTCTTAAGACATTCTTTTCGTGAGAAGCTCTTCCCACACAGTTTGCAGTCGTAAGGCTTCTCTCCAGTGTGAGTTCTCATGTGCTGATTCAGGTTTCCTTTACGTGCAAAACTCTGTCCACACAGTTTGCAGGTGTAAGGCTTCTCTCCAGTGTGATTCCTCATGTGGTCATAAAGGTTTCCTTTACGTGTAAAACTCTGTCCACACTGTTGGCAAGTGATAGGTTTACCTCCAGTGTGAATTCTCATGTGACTCTCAAGACATTCGTTTCGCGAAAAGCTCTTTCCACACTGTTGGCAGGTATAAGGCTTTTCTCCCGTGTGGGTTCTCATGTGGGCATTAAGGTTTCCTTTACGTGCAAAACTCTGTCCACACTGTTGACAGGTGTAAGGTTTCTCTCCAGTGTGATTTCTCATGTGGACTTTAAGGTTTTGTTTTTGAGTGAAACTCTGTCCACACTGTTGGCAGGTAAAATAACTGTTAGATATGGTTTTCTGAGCTCTTTTTTGTGAAGAAGATTTTTCAGTCTGTGTGGATTTTTTCCCCATCATGAAATCATGATCTTTCTCTTCCATTTCATTCAGTTCTTGACTCTCTTCTTTTAGTGCTATCAGGTCTAAAGTGAAAGAAATCAAAATACAAAATTAACACCAGTTTAATGGCATAAGCAACAGTCCGCAAAAGGCTGCAATTGACAAGAATGCCAACAAAACATGAACTGGATAAACATTGTTGAATGTTACAATCTAATCAGAGTTCTGATCTGTAATGCTGCCTGATCATAATTATACACTGTTCGTTTATCGGCTAGAGGTGAAAAATAAAAATAAAGATGACTTGACTTGTTAGATCCTATAACCAATCATTCCTGGACCATAGAAAACTTTGCAGATTATAGCACCCGTCATTGACAAACCTGAGCAAGTGCGATTGTGGGGGTTAGTAGGCTGCTCTGATTGTTGTGACACTTTTTAGAGCATGATAATTAAAATGTCTCACAAAACAAAGAAGTAAGCAGAGGAGTTAAGGAGTTTGTCTACAAAAATTACAGCACAGGACAGAATCAATTTGCAAATGACTTTCATGAAGATGGCGGATTGATGATCTGTGAGCCTGTCAGAGGTAACAGACAGCACCGGAGCAACAAGAACTGAAAGAGAAGTGCTCTGCGAAGAGTTTTATTTAAAGTGTTATTTATTTTGTGTTAAAAAAAAAAAAGTGTCTATCCAATACAACCTAAATTTATCATGATGACAACAGTGCTGCATGTCGTATATTTATTTTTACTTATTTCAACAGCAACACCGGCACATAGCTGAAATAATTGTGATATAGACTGCTATTAAAACACCATTGTTTTCTCCTTCTTACTTAAGTCTTGTTTTTGAAAAACACCCCTGAAAAAGATTCCTGAGCGAATCTCCACATAAAAAATGTGTGTTATGTGGAGATTCGCCAATTTTCGCGACTGTGATGCAACAGCTGAGATCATTAATATGTATGACTCCAAACATTTGCATATGCCAGCCCATGTTCAATGACAGGCGGGACTGCGCTGCCGAAGCATGGCAGTTGCTCAGTGTTTGGATGTACACATGAACACAAAAGCATTTTTTTGTTCCTTCATCCGAGCCTCTGAAGAAACAATGGGTTAATTTTATTTTCTGTGGAAATTTCCAAACATTTCACCGACGACTGTTTCCTCAACTTGGGCCAAGAGCTGGCCTCGGATCGAGCAACCAAGGAACACTTTCTGTTGAGTAATTGTTGTTCAAGTTCAGACAGGTAACGTTAATCTTTCTCTCAAAATCGTTCAATACTGTTTATGCATCAGTAAGTCAAGCCAGTGACTAAAATATCAACTTCACATCGTTTCTTTTAGTAGGATGAAAAAAAAAAACATTTAAATTGTGAATAAATTATATACAGAAAGCGATCAAAGAACAATCTTTCTACACAGCGCGGGTTTATCCGGACACTTGCCAAACTCGTTATGAATTCAATGATGCACGACGAAGCTCTTTTCCCCACTTTGAAAAACGAGTCGTTTTCAGAGCCTGGTGTCAATAAAAGCTTTTATTGGACTAACAAGGACGTTTTCAGTTCTGAAACTTACAGGATATTCTTATAATATAATGACCTCTTAGATGTCAATAGCTCAAGGAAAATTTGATTTCTCAGTTCATCACCCCTTTAAGTTAGGGCTGCATGATGTATCACTTTAACATCGATATCGCGATGTGCGCATCCACGATAGTCACATTGCAAGGATGTGCGATGTCACTTATAGGGATCGTAGTTAATCCGTGATTCGTGATCAGTACCCAGACAGCAAACTGACATTGAATCAACGTGGAAACGACGTCTCTCATGACATTGAAACAACGTTGATTTTGCTCATCGAATTAACGTTGAACCAACGTCAGACGCGGCATTCTTCAAAGCTAAATGAAAATCGAAAATTGGTTTGCTTTCATAACGTTGAAACAACGCGTCGATTTCAAGTTGATTTCCCGTTAGTTTTGAAAGAATGACGCGTCTGACGTTGGTTCAACGTTAATTCGATGAGCAAAACAATGTCAGATCAACGTTGTTTCGATGTCATATTTCCACGTTGATTCAATGTCAGTTTGCTATCTGGGTAGGCTATGTGCCAGCAGCTCCCCGGCCCGTAACGCTTGTGATTCGCGGATTAAATGCAAAGTTTAACCATCATAGTGTGAGAGTTTATCAATTTGCAAGTCCTGTCAGTTTAAACCTCAAGTGCAAGAAGACTGGAACTTGCGCGCTGTTTTCTGTCAGCCTTACTAAAGCGCATTTTTGTCCCGCCAAAGCTTGACCGGTGAATTATATAGATGAGTGATGCAGATGAGTGACTTCCGCGCTCGTTTAACTGAAAGGGTGAAAGTCCCGGTCGCGCGTGCACTCTCGTCTCATCGTCTGCAAACTGTCTTGCTCTCTCTCCCGCGCTCGCGCATATCAGTGAATTGAGTTGACTGAATGTCTTTGAGAATACGGTAAAAGGTCGGAAGCCCAAAGTTTTTTTTTTTTCTGAACTACCACTGGTTGTGAATTGCCGTTCCACACATTCAGATGACATTACATAAACCACACTTTCAATAAAAAATTTAAATAAAAATGCTATCCAGTGATGAAATGTTTTATGTGTTGACACAAATCTTGTGCGATGTTCTAACCTGCCTGGATAATCACACAAACGTGTCAAAAAAAGCTTATATTGGACTAACAAGGACATTTTCAGTTCTGAAACTTACAGGGTATTCTTATATGATAACTTCTTAGATGTCAAAAGCTCAAGGAAAAGTTTATTTCTCAGTTCATCACCCCTTGAAGAAGTAATTAATTTGAATTTTATTGCATGACATGTATTTGATCACCTGACAACCAGTAAGAATTCCGGCTCTCACAGACCTGTTAGTTTGTCTTTAAGTTCTTCACTCATTACCTGTATTAACTACACCAGTCCACACACTCAAACAGACTCCAACCTCTCCTCAATGCCCAAGAACAGACAGCTGTGTACGGACATCAGATAAAATTGTAGACCTGCACAAGGCTGGGAAGAGCTACAGGCAAGTAGGCAATAGGCAAGCAGCTTAGTGAGAAGGCGACAACAGTTGGCGCATTCATTAGAAAATGGAAGACGTTCAGCGTACAACATTATGTCGCTTATTATGCAAATGTCTTTTCTAGTGATGTAAAACAGTATAATTCTAAACAAAATTAACGCGTAAAAACTAGTTGATTCTCTCTTTTGGGAGACAACCCAGACAGCAAACTGAGATTGAATCAACGTGGAAACGACGTCTCTCATGACATTGAAACAACGTTGATTTTGCTCATCGAATTAACGTTGAACCAACGTCAGACGCGGCATTCTTCAAAGCTAAATGAAAATCGAAAATTGGTTTGCTTTCATAACGTTGAAACAACGCGTTGATTTCAAGTTGATTTTCAGTTAGTTTTGAAAGAATGACGCGCCTGACGTTGGTTCAATGTTAATTCGATGAGCAAAACAATGTCGGATCAACGTTGTTTCAATGTCATATTTCCACGTTGATTCAATGTCAGTTTGCTATCTGGGAATGACTTTATTTATCGTTCACTTTCGACTTTAAACCTTTGCAGAATGTTAACATTCACAAACAGCTCAATTACACACTGCATGAAAGGGAATATTCAAAAAACATAATATGGGGCCCTTTAAAATCCTCAACTCACGTACAAATGAAAGCGTTTTACACTAGCTGTGTGCTAAACAGCACAAGACAAAACATGAATTGACATGAAAGTACAGTATGTGGCCGATGTAAACACGAACCGCGTGCTACACAAAACGGCGAAAGAGCGAAAACGAAACCGCACGCCAACACGACAAGACACAACGCTATGCACGAGAACGACCATAAGCTCATCCTCATCCTGAGCCCTTTAAAATCCTCAACTCGCATACAAATAGGGCTGTCACTTTTGTCAAAAAATCTTGATCGATTTTTGAGACATAAGTGTTCATTGAATCGATTGTAAAATCGATTTTCCATGTTTAAAAACGTTTCCATTTTAGCCAAATATAGGCAAATCCACGGACACCGCATAAGGGCGAACGTAGGCCTATAGAGGGCGCTTAAGGCACACACTTGAATATTTCTGATGTTTTATTGACATGAAGCTTCGTGCACAATGACAAACAGGAGTGTAACATTCTAGAAAAAAAAATAAGCAGAGTGGACTGCCATAACATCAATGAAAAACATTAGGATTCAACATGGCTCTGTTTACGATTAGAGTTATTATTTCGATTAGCCTACTACTTAAATGTCAAACAAATTTTGCCATCATAGGCGATTGTAGCCTGAATCTGTATCTGTATGCATGAGACTTTCTGAATACCGGCAGAATTCACATTTTTCACTATGCATAAGTACAATTTGCTGTTATGTGTGTGTGTGTGTGTGTGTTGCTGTGTGACGCGCGTTCGCTGCGAGCGTGTCGTGACGAGCTCCTCTTATACTGTCTATGGACGAGCTGGACGCGCTCTGAAGGCTGTTAAAATCTATTCCGAATCTGTATCTGTATGCATGAGACTTTCTGAAAACCGGCAGAATTCATATTTTTCATTATGCAGAAGTACAATTTGCTGTTATGTGTGTGTGTTGCTGTGTGATGCGCGTGACGTGACGAGCTGGACGCGCTCTGCGAGAAGGCCGTTAAAATCGATTCCCTATTTTCGTTTTCGATACTTGTGTTGGTTGGTCCGATCGATTGTGCAATTGATTTTCGAACGTAAAGTGACAGCCCTACATACAAATTAAACCGTGGACATGAAAGAAATTAGTTTATGTACACGAATTTATTCCTCAATGAAACGCCACTAGGCTAATTATCCTTCTAAAATTTTACTTGGACCCACTATGGACTATTAATAAACAGCTTAACTGAAATAAAATATTATAATAAAAATTTAAATTCCCCTAAAAAGTAAAGTCGTTTCATGTTTTGCCACATGGCTTACAGTCATATAGTGAAAATGTAATTAGAGATTATAAAAAAAAAAAAAAAAAAAAAACATATGGTAGCTTTAATATGAAAATGGACAATACAGAATGTTAATTGGGTAAAGAGAAATATAAAATGAAGGGTAAAATAAAATAAATATATATTTACTATATAGTAATTAATGCTAAAACACTTTGGACATGCAACTTGACTTGGCCTTTTCTGTCTGGACCTGACCCTTGACTGATCTGTGACTTACAAATCAATGACTTGTTCCCACTTCTGGTTGAAAGAAGATGTGAAAGACATCTATGAAAGATAGTGAAAGATAAAATGAGATCAAATGTTCAGCTTCGAGAATGAAACCAACCTGTTTGTTCCTCAGTTTCATCTTGCTTCAAACTGAATGTTTCTTCAAACTTCATGTCTTCACTCTCCTCTTTAATGAACACAATCTTTATGTCTTCATTCTCCTCTTTAATAAACGCCATCTTTATAACACGTGTCACGTGGATCTCAGTCGCTTCACCAGGTTTTTTTCTGTTTGTTTGTCCTGTTTAAGATGAGAATAATTCACAGAAAGACAAGTAAATCCAATTTAAATCTCTGGGTGTGTCTCAATCAGATCTAGTTCAGTTCACTGGTAAGAGGAGTGAGTCAGAGAGAGTTAATGGACTTTATAAGAGTAAAACACTCAAACTGAACAAATAAAAAAAGAAAACACGTTACATGTTACACTTTCATGAAAACATTTGGTAACACTTTACTTGATGGGGTGTGCTTGTGCATAAGACTGACATGACACCTTCATAACCATGACATGACATGTTATGAATATGAAGTAGGGTTGTCATGACAAAGACACTGGCAGGTTATGATGTATTGGTATATGTCAAGGTGTCACAACAAAGACATCTCAAACAATGTCATATTTGCTTTAAAAATGTCATAACTGAGTGAATGACAGTTTGTCACAAACATGCGTAAACCCTACTTCATATTCATAACATATGTCATGTCATGATCATGAAGGTGTCATGTTAGACTTATGCAACTAAAGTGTTTCCAAACATTTTCAGTTGATTTGACGTTTCTTGTCATTACACGTTAACGTTTGTTGTTCTCATTTACAGTTTTAACTGGCTGGTGTCGTCAGCTGTTACTCGAATCACTGACGAGGATTCGGTTCAATTGACAAAAAATAAAGCTCAGTTTCTCTCATCACTGCTTACCGGTGACTGAATTCGTGTTTACTCTGAACTGATTCACGATAGAGGAGCGAAATGAGACGCATCATTGCCGTTACTCGCGTGAGAGAATGTGCGCCGCTTTACTCATAAACACAACGTTCGTTATGGTTAAATAAAGCATTACAATGTCACGATGTTATATATAATCAAATGACATTAGAAGGATTGTAAACAAATTAAAACGATTGGACAGCTTGCATTGGTTAAAACATTTTAAACGCGCAACACCACAAACCTTTACTCAGCCGAAACACAACAGATGCAGATGCGTGGCGCGGCCTTATGACGTCACACATTCTGACCAAAATAAAAGTCCTGTTCATTTGCTGCTGCGTCTGAAATGACCAACGTGCATTGAAATGTACAATTATACGTATAATATTATTGCAGAAACCATTTATTCCATATGCAATATTAACATGCAAGTAATAACAAATATAGTTGATAGGTTACAAATATATAATAAAACAGTTTATGACTTCATAAAGTAGGATTAATATTAAGTGACATTTTGGAGTCGGCAATGTAATTTAATTCACGATATAATATTTTCATAATTTCATCCTGATATAATCATTTTTGCTATTTTACTTTATTATTAAAATATGAACAAAGAAGCTAATTACGTTGTAGGAATAATTGTACAACCCCATTTCCAGGAAAGTTTGGACATTTCGTAAAACACAAGAATCTGGTATTTGTTATTTCTCTTGAACCTTTATTCAAATTTAAACAAAAGTTGATTTTTATGGCTGTAACTTATTTCAAATGTCATAAATAAATTTATTTCATTTTTCTTTTGCAATTGTTATGTACCTGATGTGACGTTTGTCTAGGTGAAGGAGTAACATTGAAAAAGTAATAATGTTTTGGGTGAGTGTGCCAGCCCCCTGCCCCACATAAGTTCAAGTTCCACATGTTATATTTAATGTATGAAACGTGTCTTAAATATGCACTTAACATGAGTGCGCAACTACTCCCTAAAGTGCTGAAATATCATTCACTCAACACTGTATTCATTGTAACCTCCCCAGACAGCAAACTGACATTGAATCAACGTGGAAACGACGTCTCTCATGACATTGAAACGTTGATTTTGCTCATCGAATTAACGTTGAACCAACGTCAGACGCGGCATTCTTCAAAGCTAAATAAAAATCGAAAATTGGTTTGCTTTCATAACGTTGAAACAACGCATTGATTTCAAGTTGATTTTCCGTTAGTTTTGAAAGAATGACGCGTCTGACGTTGGTTCAACGTTAATTCAATGAGCAAAACAATGTCAGATCAACGTTGTTTCGATGTCATATTTCCACGTTGATTCAATGTCAGTTTGCTATCTGGGTCATTTGACTAATCAATTCATCGATTCTAATTCTTAACTCTGGCTTCTTATCTTCACTCATAGTCACTGGACATTAATTGGGAAATCGACTCTTTAAGGTGATTTTGTACCATAACAATAATCAGCACAATATATAGTCTCTCAAACTTAAGATGTTTCCTGTTTGTGAAACTCATTCCACACTGATACAAAAAAATTATTTCATACATGAATAGTCATGTGGTATTTAAGGGCTATTTTATACTTAAAACTTTTTCCACAGTCCCCACATGTAAATGGCTTCTCTCCAGTGTGAGTTCTCATGTGCCTATTAAGGGTTCCTTTTCGGTTGAAACTCTTTCCACACTGTTGGCAGGTGAAAGGCGTCTCTCCAGTGTGAATTCTAATGTGGTCTTTAAAGTGTTGTTTTGAATTGAAACCCTTTCCACACTGAGGGCATGTGTAGGGTTGCTCTCCAGAGTGAAGTCTATAGTGGACTTTAAAGTGTCGTTTTTGAGTGAAACTCTTTCCACACTGAGTGCACACGTAGGGTTTCTCTCCAGAGTGAAATCTCATGTGGGCTTTAAGGTTTTCATGTTGATCAAAACACTTTCCACACTGTTGGCAGGTGTAAGGCTTCTCACTAGTGTGAAGTCTAATGTGTCTGTTAAGGCTTCCTTTTTGAGTGAAACTTATTCCACACTGTTGGCAGGTGAAAAGGCTCGCTTCAGTGTGAATTCTCATGTGGCATTTAAGGTTTCCTTTTCGATTGAAACTTCTCCCACACTGTTGGCAGGTGAAAGGAGTCTCTCCAGCGTGAACACTCACGTGGACCTTAAGGTTTCCAATTTGAGTAAAACTCTTTCCACACAGTTGGCAGGTGTAAGGCTTCTCTCCAGTATGAATTCTCATGTGCCTGTCAAGGCCTCCTTTTTCAATAAAAGTCTTTCCACACTGTTGGCAGGTGTAAGGCTTCTCTCCTGTGTGAATTCTCATGTGTCTGTTAAGGCTTTCTTTCAGAGTAAAACTTATTTCACACTGTTGGCAGGTGTAAGGCTTCTCTCCCGTGTGAGTTCTCATGTGCTTTTTAAGACTTCCTTTTAGAGTGAATCTGTTTCCACACTGTTGGCAGGAGAAAGGGCTCTCTCCAGTGTGAATTCTCATGTGGATTTTAAGGTTTCCTTTACAACTGAAACTCCTTTCACACTGTTGGCAGGAGAAAGGCTTCTCTCCAGTGTGAACTCTCATATGTCTGTTAAGGCTTACTTTTTCAGCAAAAGTCTTTCCACACTGTTGGCATGTATGACGCTTCTCTCTTGTGTGAACTCTCAGGTGTCTGTCAAGGTTCACTTTTTGAGAGAAGCGCATTCCACACTGTTGGCAGGTGTAAGGCTTTTCTCCAGTGTGAACTCTCATGTGGACTTGAAGATTTTCTTGTTGGGTGAAACATTTTTCACACTGTTGGCAGGAGAATTTATTTCTTGTTTCTTTCCTTTTAGCCCTTTTTCGTGAGGAAGTCTTTTTTGTCGGTGAACTAAAAGTTGTTTCTCTTGTTAGGAAACCATGACTCTCATATTTATCTTTCTCTTCCATTTCATTCAGTACTTCACTCTCCTTTTTCAGCACCATCAGGTCTAAGGCAAAAAGAGAAAAATGCAAATTAACACATGTTTAATGGCGCAAAGCAACAGGCAACAAAACATTTAAGGCCATTGCACACCGAGTCCGAAATTCGCATCCGAAATTTTCGCACGTTAAAAAAAAAAAATCGACCTCACGTTATGTCAGTCACGCTTGCACACCGCCTCCGAAACTTTCGTCCGTCATAAAATTAATCGGATCGGGTTCGATTTTCTGCGTTTTTCGCATCCAGAGCCAGCATTTTGTGAGGTCTTTTGACAATTCAGGTCTGGGGGGAGCTCGTCCTCAAATCATTGCACATATGCGCCGTGCTTTCAGTTTCGGTTTTCAATTCGATCAAGTGTTTATGTTCTCTTCTCTATATTGGATTATGAAATTAATAAACCTCCCCTTTCAATCAGATTGAAATTTAGGATCGAATAAGGTGTGATTGAGCAGCCTATTCGATAACTAATGTATTATTTGGGCACAATATAACAGCCTAGCTGTTCTGTCTGCCCAGCGCTTCCAACGGGCCGCGCGCGGGTGTGTGTTTGTGTCCATACCTGGTCCATATCAGACACACTGCCAGTCTCCGTTCAGAATCGATTGTGTAACGGTCACCAGGTGGAGTGCCCTTGAGAGTCACCAGAAGGCACTCCACACCAGATGTTCATGTTTCCCTCACAACTACATTTCCCAGAACTCACTGCCCGGACTCATCACTGATCACATTCACCTGTACCTCATTCACTGATTGCATTCACCTGTGTCTCATCCTGTTAGTGTGTCTATATATACCTTGTGTTCACATTCAGTGTTTGCGAAGTCTTGTTTAAGTGTTTCACTGCAATTCTGAGCATTCTTATGGTTTTCAGGGGCCCGTTTCAATAAGGAGGTTCAACCAACTCTGAGTTAAAGCTTGAACTCAGAGTCGACTTACCCTGAGATGGGAAACTCCGAGTTTTCGGTTACAGAACAGCTGAAATGAGTTAGTTCAATCAACTCTGAGTTGACTGACTTTGAGTTAAGCGCGTGCACCACAGCTTTAAAAAGCCATTATCAATGGAGCGCAGATATTACGAGTCACCATGGCAACAGCGCCAGACAAAAAGAGGTGTTGGGTATAATTAATTACCAAGTAATCTAAATATTGTAATTTAATTAAAGGGATTACTCTTAATTCTTCTTTAATTTAAAATAAAATATGATGCAATTACATTAAATAGGCTACTGCATAAATTATAGACCAATTCAGTATAAAACAATAGTGGATTTAGCATACATTTTTAAAAGGTATATTTTTATATAACCTTCTCCCTCTACACACTTTGATCAATTCAAGAATAATTCATGCAATTGTATATTGTTAATTTGAAAGCATTAAAAGTGCAGTTTCTTGTCTCTCCTCCTTGTATTAATCAAGTGGTTGAGGTTGATATAGGATTTAGTAGTATGTAGACCAATACTTTCTAGAGATAGTAATTATTACATTAATCTAACTACACCGTTGAAGATGTCATTTGTTGTTAATAATTCATAACTATTTTAGAGTAACTGTTATAATATCAGAGGTGAAACTGGAAGAATGTTATTCAACCTAAAGTAGTCTTTGATACATTTTTACTTAAGTAAAAGTAAAAATACCAGTCTAAAAAATCTACTCAAGTAAAAAGTAGTTAATTTAAAACATGAGTAGAAAAGTTGCTGAGTAACTTGTTTAACAGCGGGGGTGGGGTGGGGGACTCCCCCATGTGGGGTTGTAACGTATGAGAGTTTCACAGTATGAGAACCGTCTCAGAAAATATCACGGTTTATGGTATTAAACAATTGTTAAATATATAAACTGCATTATTAAATTACGGTTATTGTTTTCATCAGTTAAAATAAATTAAACATTTGTTCAATAAAACATAAAATCAACTAACTTCAATAATTGATTATGATTATGATTGACATCTTATTTTTTATCGTGAATAACTTATTACATTTTATTAAATTTTTTTCAATGATTTAATAGAAATATATTATCCAAAACAGTGGTAATCAAATAAAACTTTAGCAAATGTTTTAATCCTTTTATTTTTTGGCAAAGTGCTGCAAAACAGATTTAGTCAATTAAACCATGGACAAACAATATATATATATTCCTTAAAGAATGTGTAAATACATTTTAGTATTGTTGTTGGTGTTTAAACAGCACTTCCTCTTTAAAAAAGGGGAGGAGACCGCAAGAAACTCTGGGTTTACTGAAGAAAACCTGCTCCCGACCAGGTTAGGTTCACAGAGTAAGTTACCATGGTAACTGACTCTGAGTATAAGTTACCTCTCTTTCAGAAACGGGCTTGACTTACTCTGCTTTCTCGGGTTTGATATACCCCCCTTTCTGAAACGGAAAACCCAGAGTTTCCCTCATTTCAGGGTTAACATACTCAGAGTTTTCACTTAACCTCCTTTCTGAAACAGGCCCCTGGTCTCTTGGTTTTGGATATCTTGCCCTGTTCCCTGGATTACTCTCTTGCCTCTGGTCCCTGCCTGTTTTGTTTGTTTCTTTGTTTATCTGTTTTGGACTGCCTATCTATTTATGACCCTTGCCTGTACATTGGATTACGCCTCTGGATTGCCCTCAAATAAAGCTGCGTTTGGATCTCATCTACAAGCCTCAGAGCAGTTCGTAACAGATTGGTTCACGGAAATTGGTGGTCTTGTTTTTAATATGTGGCTCCAGAATCGCTAGCAAAGCATCGAACTGTCCCACTGACATTCTGAGGTAAATTTTGAATCGCTCAGGATAAATTCGCAACTCCTTGATAAGGAACTCTCCTTCCTCTCGGCGCAATTTCAGGATTGGATGGACGTAATATTTTCTCTTTCTTCTCTTTTCAATAAGAGAGAGGGCAAAAATCATCCTCACTGCTTGACGAATCCATTTGGTATTTTTGCGTTTTTTCCCGCAAAGGTTTAAGAAATACGCAACGGACTCGGTGTGCAAGGTTTCTATGCGTGGCGAATTTTTAGGCTGACGAACACGAAAATACGCATACGAATATTTCGTACTCAGTGTGCAATGGCCTTTACACATGTAAAGCGTCAAAACCAACATACAACTATATCTTATTCCCAGGGCCGTCGATGGGGATGTTGCTCCAAAAGTTTAATCTGGATCAGAATAAAACATTTTGCTAATCAGGATCTGGTAATCCATTTCACTCTTGTGCTGTTTTTTTCAAAGCAATATAGCAATACTCATAAAGTTCAGAGAATTGTATCTATCAGGCAGCAACACATCAATTCATCCACTTCTCCCGAAATACATTGAAGTAAGTGGCTGGTGAAGTGTGAGAAGATTTTAATCTTCTCAATTTTATAGTTACCTACACAACGTGTATCTAAACACGTCATCAATTTATTAAAGTATTGTTATTGCCGCTTCCATAGACATCAGTGTGCATTTTACTAAATCTAAATGTTGTTTTGCTAATACTTGTGTATTTAAATGTCTGAAACCTAAAATAAATCTTGTGGTTGAAAACAGTGAATAGTTGTGATGACAGCGCTGAGCTCGTCTGTGTCTCTCTGGCTCAGTACCACCCAACTCAAGAACACAGATTTGAATTTGATGATCACGTGATCTGAACATTACGAACACCAGTGTGAACTATCGTACGCGTCAATTAATTAACTACTACGCGTCAATTAATTAACAATTAATTAACAATCACATGCGGTGGTGATGTTTCTTACGTCGGTTTCGGAGAACCAGAGGGCAGATGTTTCAAGTGAAAACTGAGGCATTTAAGAGGCACCTACATAGACCCTTCTTCACGAAAAAGATGAAGAACAAGTATGAAAGCATCAAAGACGAGTCAAACAAAGCCCTGCAGGAGACTGACAGCATTGCACTCACAACTGATATTTGGACGAGCGTTGCAACAGAGACACATCTAGGGGTGACGTGTCACTATTTTGGGGAGGATTAGGAAATGGCGTCCCACTGCCTGACAACGAAGCCCCTTGAAGAGAGACTTATTGCAGAGTGGATTGAAGATGTAACTGCCAAATGCAACATTCCACCAGAGAAAATCAATGCTGTTGTTCATGACAACGGTGCTAATGTCATAGTAGCAGCGAAGATTTTGCAAGAAAGGCATGGATGGGCATCAGTGCAATTTGCAGGACATACCCTCAGCTTGGTTGTACAAAGCTCTCTAAGGCCATGTCCACACTAATACGTTTTCGTTTGAAAACGTATATTTTTCTCTCCGTTTTGGCCTTCCGTCCACACTGAGACGCCATTTTAAGTCACGTTTGGAAAACGCTCTCCAAAGTGGATAAATTTGAAAACGCAGTTTTCGCGTTGTAGTGTGGACAGTGAAACCGGAGATATTTCAAAACGATGACGTAAGTTTAGTCATGTGATCCATGTAGTACCAATAGATATTCATGTTTATCGGTATTGTGCCTGTTATGTGTTATTCATTTTTACACTGTTGCTAAAATATGTTACTTTCTATGTTACTTAATATGTGCTATTCTTCATAGCACAGTACTGCAAAGATGACAGATAGTGTACTCGCATTTGCTGTCCTGCGGCAAAACAGGAGTTGCGTTTTAGACCAAATATGGTGACTGAATGCGACCTGGATGCATCAGTGATGGTGAGATATTTTGCTAAATAAAATGATCCCGTTAGAAGAATTGTGCGATAACTTTATTATTTATTTCCCCCTCTGTAACGTCTGTCAGAAAGTCCGAACTGGCAATAGCTCTGAACTAGCAGCTGTTTGTTGCTGGTAGAAAAGGGGTAGAAGTGAGAACCAGACCAAAAAATGTATGTGCACCCTGTGTATATTCTCTATTTCTGTAGAGCTGGACATAAGGATCAAATGACTGAGTTCAGCTTTTGAAAATTAAACCAACCTGTTTGTCCATCAGTTTCTTCTTGTTTCACTGTCAAAGTTTCTTCAATCCTCACATCTTCACTCTCCTTTTTAATAAACGCCATCTTTATTACAGTGCGTCACGTGAATCTCAGTCGCTTCACCAGGAATATTTCTGTGTGTTTGTCCTGTTTAAGACGAGAATGATTAACAGAAAGAAAAATAAATCCAAACTAAATCTCTGAGAGTGTCTCAATCAGATCTAGTTCAGTAGTTCAGTTCACTGGTAAGAGAGTCAGTCAGAGAGAGAGTGAGTTAATGGACTTAAATGATCGGATTAGACTAAAAACACTCTAAACTAAATCTCTGAGAGTGTCTCAATCAGAACTAGTTCAGTAGTTCAGTTCACTGGTAAGAGAGTCAGTCAGAGAGAGAGTTAATGGACTTAAATTACCTGATTAGACTAAAAACACTAAATCTTTGAGAGTGTCTCAATCAGATCTAGTTCAGTAGTACAGTTCACTGGTAAGAGAGTCAGAGAGAGTTAATGGATTTAAATCATCTGATTAAACTAAACACTTAAAACTAGCTGCAGATTATTAAAATAACAAACTATACAGACAGACATTTCATAATTAAGAGTTTATTATTTTTATTTTGTACAATTTACAGATTACACTTTCATGAAAACATCTGCAGTTGGTTTGTAAAAGTTGTTTATTGTTCTCCACTGTTTGAGCAGCCCGTGTCGTGATACACGCGATTTAAATTACTGAATCATTTTGCTAAGTATTTGATTCAATTGACTCGGAGTGACGAAAAGCTCAGTTTCTTCCATCACTACTGACCAGTTACTGAATTCGTGTTTATGATAAACTCATTTGCGATAAAAGGGGAGCGAAATGAGACGCAAGTTTACTGTTTCTCATCAGTGGATGCGTTTTACTCACAACAATATCCTCCATTAAATTTAAATAAAGCATTACAATGTTACATTTAATAGTACATAAACTAATTTAACCTCGTTTGAAAAAAACTAGAAGACATTGAACGTTTTTATCGATTTAAATAGCCTTTATTATTTCAAACAAACCTTTCATCAGCCAAATGCAGGGGCGCGGCGCAGCATTATGACGCCATGTTCTAACTCCAAAATAAAAGTCCTGTTTACATGCTGCTGTCTACAATCACAGAAGTGCAGTGAAATGTACTATGTATAACTGCTTTTTTTTTGTATTTTACTAGATTTTTTATTTTACTAGATGAATGTTTGTAATTCCAGACTAATTTAGCCCACATTTACACATCTGGGCATTTAGAGAAACTAATATTCCACTCAATTATTTATATTTTTATATTTATATTTCATACAAGTCTACAAGTCAATTACAAGTAATTATAATTATTACAAAAGTCTTGATATTAACGCCCTCAAACTCCCCAAATGCGTCAATGAATCAATGACTCATTCATAATAATGACAGCCACTTGCTTCGTTACTGAATGAATGAATGACTCGATGACTCAATCATAAAGACAGTGACTTACCGCCAACAATTTGGCTTTTTTTAATTTCATATGTAAAAGCATCACTTTGTTTTTACCATCATTGCATATTTCTCTATTTAACATATTTTTATTAAAAGTATTTTTATTAAGTAAAAATCGATTTAAAGGTATATTGTGCACCTAAATGGCCAAATAAACACAAAAATATATCAAAATGCCAAGTCGAGTATACACGTAAACACAGTAGATTCTCTCTCTCTCTCACATGCAGACAGAGGATTTATGCTCATCAACCTCATAGTCACAGTGAAAGCCCTTTGCATTTAATACGTATTGAATCTTTATTGTTTGCTGAAATTTATTTGTTTTTAGTTGTATATTTATGGACCTAATAATTAGCTGCTATTGACATTTTATTGAAAAATCCTTTTTTAATTTGTGTATGTTCCTTCCTGTTAGACTGCCTATCTAGGAACCATTGGTGGGTGTAATGTCCAGGTAGCAACTAGGAGAATACTGACAACATTGATTGGTCATTCTTCAGCCACTCAATTGAACTGGAATGGCGCAAACCAAAAGAGACCTTTTCTGAACCTGCGGCTAAGGAGGGTTGTAACAGATAAGCATGTGGTATTAGAAATGGCATATATTAATTACTTACCATACACGTTGTTGTTTCATGCCTATTTGCTTTTCAGAGGCTGTAAGAAAATGTTCCTTTCAGCCAAGCCCTCGTGATTCTGAAATTGAGAGTGAGATAAAGGTGTGGCTGCGGAGTTCAAGAGACGGATGGATGAAAGGAGGAAGAGCGGGTGGATGAAAGGAGCGCTACCACCGTCTGCTGACTAGTCAATAGACCTCGGGGGAAGAGTGAACTTTGCCAATGAATGATTAGCACACCAAACATATACATGTATAAATTAGCTTTATATTTGCTTTATTATAGCTTTAAATTAGCTTTATTAACCTGTATTAACCTGAATTGAATGTTTTATATTTTGTAATTAATAAATACATTGATTTGAAATCCCTTTGACTACTGTACATTTTTCAAAATACAGAAATTAGTTATGTGGTGACTGCATTCATTTCAGATGTATTGAATAATTGTTTTTCCCAAAGACTTATAGTTATAGTAGCCAAAAAGTATTTACAGTGCAACAGATTAATTGTGAACAAGATCTATTGTTGTAGATTAATAGTGCCCTGTCTGTGCGGGCCCTGTGTGTGAGGGCTGCCCATGCAGACCCAACGTTTTTCCAATGAGGAAATTCTCAGGGGCCCTGCGCTAGCAGCCTCCCAGCTAACAGGGAACGTTCCCAGAACATTCACTAACGTTCTTTAAAAGTTGTGTAAATGTTAGGACAAAACGTTATTAAAATAATGTTTTCGGAACGTTCATATAACATTATTAACGTTCTTGTAACGTTGATAAAAAACGTTCTTAGAACAACGTTATCGGAACGTCTTTATCAGGTTATTTGTGTTTGATAAACGTTCTCATAACGTTCCAGCAACATTATGCTAACCTTAGGATAACGTTCTAACAACATTATGCTAACGTTCCAGCAACGTTCTGCAAACATTAAGACACCGTTCCAGCAACGTTAAGCAAACTGGACATTTCCACGTTTTTAGAACATTTTAAATTAACGTTCCCACAACCAAAATGGAACGTTAGAAAAACGTTCTCAGAACCTAACTTTGTTAGCTGGGCTGCTGGGGGCCCTTAGGCTAGCCCTAAGTGGGCCCTGAAAGGGCCAGTGCGGGCTTGTTTGCAGGGCAGACAACAATTATTTTATCGACGGGCAGTTTGCACAGAAATGTAAGATTTTCCCATCCTCACCGACCTCGTCATAAAACCTGTTAAATGATCATACGACGTCTCCTCGCTCCTGCTTTGTCAACGGCGACACAGGTGGCTGGTGTTGCCAGATTGGGTGTTTTTTTCGCTACATATTAAGGCCTGTTTATGTATGTTTTAGCCGGGTTTTCGCCTGGGAGGCTCTATAGAAATCTGGCACCCTATTGTACAAAGCAAAACTGAGAGAACGTGCGTTCCCAGACACCAGAATGAACGCGTTCACAGTAACGTTCATCAGGCAGTAATAGCCTACAGTGCGTTCAGTTCACGTTCGCCCAAAATATGAATGCGTTCATGAACTATCGCTCTACATTGTTCTACAACTACATATCGTTCGCATTTTCTGGAACTGAAGGAGCGAAAAGCCGCGGCGAGACTTAAACACCGTCATTTTCCTAGGAGGGCTAGGAAGACTCTGAGGCGGTGGTCGGAGGCTTTGGCTGGGAGCTTTGAGCAGACAGCTGTTTTGGGCGATCTGCTACAAAGCTAGAGCGCTTTAAGAAGTGCTTCATAGCCTGTGTCTCTCTGCAATGGTGAGAGAAGTCATGTTCCGCGAGCGCCCCCCCACTCAAGGCCGAGGCTAGCCGCACCCCAAGTTGCTCCAGAGGCGAGCATCCTCTGACATATATAGCAATTGTAAGTCGCTTTGGATAAAAGCGTCAGCTAAATAAATAAATGTAAATGTAAGAATGACTCGCGGGCAGAGGGGGGAGGTCCACAGAGCTCACCCAGTCCTCACTGTCCGATGCCAGGATAGAGCAACTGGCCTTCTATACATATGCAGCTATCTCTGCAGCTGTTGTCCGTCAGTGAGCGACTCGAGTGAAGCTGGCGGGCAGAACCGGCGAGCTTTCACGGGCAGTATTGTGCTGGGTCAAACAACCTTATGTTTAAGGTTACTCATTTTAGATATATAATGATATATATTAATACTAAATTATACACACACACACACACACACACACATATATATATATATATATATGTAACTTAATATTTTTATTATTTAAATTATTATAACAATATTAACAGTACTGTTTATTGATTAAATTGAAGCGTTTAATCCAGGAAATCAATAATTATAAATACATTAATCATGTTAAATAAAAAATTAATCCTCTGCAGCATACAATGGAGGGCCACAAAAATCATACGTAAAAATGTTGGTTTGGTATGTTAAAGGATTATAAAATTGCCAAAGATTCTCAAATTCAAAACAATGTACATACATTCCAGTCATTTAGTCATGTGCAGCAAAAATAGAGGCACATAAAAACTGTATATGTTGTATTGTTCATGAGACAACAAATAAAGATAAGAGAAATGACTGGTACAGGTGTCTTTATTCCACGGTGTACACACAGTATCCATTACCACCTCTCTCCTTAGCAAATGCACTTCATCTTACACAACACATTACTGCCACCTGCTGGAGTCAACCAGGACTCTTCATATAACAGCTGTACTCTTTATATATGTCAGCGGCCTCTAATAAGATTTATATCTAAAAAAACATTTGTAGCCGACTATGCCACCTAGACATAAAACTGCGACCCCTGGAATTTACTATGAAAACAGTTCTTTATCAGGGGAAGGAACAGTGGAAAACAACACCCAGAAATAGTGGTAGAAAACTATTTTATTACAATAAAATTGCTGGAGGAAAAGATGCATAATTCAATTAAAAAGAAAAAGTTCAAAAGAAACTGTATATTTGTGAATAAAGTTGGGTATCGTAGCTTTATTACGATTCCCGGTCCCACCTAGCCTGGTTCAACCAGACTCTAGTACATTTCAAATGAAATTGAGCGGAAGTGCGTATGAGGGCGCAGCCAGGCTAGGTCCCACCCACTCCCGCTTACATTTTTTCCATTCCCGTCCCAATCCCGTGATACATAGTGATTTTGTTTCCATCCCACTGGATTCCTGAAAAAATGTCAGCCTCTAATCCACACACACACAGCAATCCACAGATGCATGGAGAGATCCACACACACACTTCAAACACACACATTTCGAAGAGCCCTCCTCAGTGTGTGCACGAGCATGAAGGATTCTGTGTCCACCAGTGTTACACACACACACACACACACACACACACACACACACACACTCACCTAAAGGATTGTTAGGAACACTAGTTCAATTTCTCATTAATGCAATTATCTAATCAACCAATCACATGGCAGTTGCTTCAATGCATTTAGGGGTGTGGTCCTGGTCAAGACAATCTCCTGAACTCCAAACTGAATGTCAGAATGGGAAAGAAAGGGGATTTTGAGCGTGGCATGAAAATTTGTGTGTTTTATTAGCTCCGCCTGTAATCATGAGGATCTGTCAACTGTTGAATGAACGAGTGTCAAGCATGTCAAGTCACGCTTTGTTTACTTCGAACCAGAAGTCGCGCCCACTTTTGACGCAAGGCCTCATGGGGCGTAGGAAACTTGTGGATAGTCTAATTGGTTATTAAACTAAACTCGTGTGCTTATTCAATAAAATTAGTCATTATGAAGTTACTAAACACCGACCCATTTTTTTGTGTTAACTGTGAGGTAATATAAAAAGACGACATGTTTTAGATAAAGAATGATTGGAGACATTTTATTCTATTTGTACTTGAAGAGTTCAGATGCAAAAGCCTCTAAATGCCATTTGAAATTTTCTTCTTTAATGATGATTTTTATCAAACTTGTATATTTAAGTTCAATAATTTCACTTAAATAACAATTAATAGGTAATTATCATTGCCA